CTTTACTTGGTTTCACTTAGTAGCCACTAGTATTGTATTTTATAACATGCAATGTTTAAAACTGATAAAGCAGATTATTTTCAGATCTTCCACTTTGATCATAAATTTAGGCCATATTCAATCTCATTTTGATATGAATGAATCAGATGAGAAAAAAAATCTACCAAAATAGCACTTTAAAGCACCTCGAAGTATAAAGAAACTACAGAAGCCATGAAAGCAGTAAGGATATGCCTCATAGCATTAAGAAAGACACTGCTTGGGATAATGTAGATTCATAGCTATTATATTAAGAACAATAACATTGTTAGAAATTGCAGCAAGCAATAAATGAATATAACTTAAACTGCTTCTAATTATGAAGCTCTAATATATGATTTTAGACAAATTTATTGAAGTTGTCTATTTTAACTGCTGATCTCTTAAAATTTTCTAAATCCTTTAAGCCAGAGTGCAAAGTAAGAGACAGATATAATGCAAAAAAAGTTGTTTATAAACAAAACTCCGCTTTGATCATATGCAGTTAAACTAGAACTAGACTTCATATGTAGTTGTTTAAATGTGTGTCAAATACGAACTCATGAGTCAGTAACCACTTTGAGAATAACATTTTGAATTTCTAAAATTTAGTTAGGCTTTCTGTTCACATACTTTGCTAAAAATCTATAAAATCTTTTGAGAAAAGCGTTTATTGAACATCAACAAGAACTGTGTTAGAAGTGAGGGCACAAGAGGAACAACACTACCATTGCTCTTAAGTAGTTTAAAATCGAGTGGAGAGACAGGCAAGTAAACAGATAAGGTTTCAGCACTATGGGTAAGTGCCGGGTTAGACGTAAATGCCAGAGGGTTAGGAGAGCACACTGTGCAGAACCCCTGACCCAGCGCCGTTGACCCAGCTCAGCTGACCGGGTGTGCAGAAAGGAGGCAGTAAGAGAGGGCTGCTCAGAGGCAGGTTATCCTGGTGGGGAAGACACCACCTGGAAAGAAGCTATAGGCTTTGCAGAGACACAGGAGCCTCAGAGGACCTGGGAGACTCAGGGAACTCTGAGACACCAGTACGAGACAGAAATAAGTTAGCATCAAGCCTTGCATGCTTGACCACTCACTTGCCCATCTCTCATGAGGACCAGAGAGGGCCAAGACAGATCATGAGTGGAACAGTGATATAATCAGGCACATGGCATAGGAAGGCAACCCTAGCAGCAACGTAAAGCAGAGCAATACAGTGAACAGATCAAATAAAACCCAAAAAGGAGGGAACAGAGCAAAGAGAAAGACTTTGAGAGAGACTACAAATTAAGCATGGACACAATGTTGTGACAGTGGAGGACAGATAGGAGGAAGACGCCTCTGTTTTCTCATGGAACTTTCTCAGTAGCTGACCATGCCATTCACTGGGATGGAAAACACAGAATGAGAGGAGAAATGAAGGAATATGGGTGAAACGAGAGCTCCTGAATTCAGTTTTTAACTGCTGAGTTTGCGGACCTATGAACTTCCAGGCACGGATGCCCAGAAGGTAACTGGATAGACAAGAATGAACGCTCATTAAAGAGCATGTCAATGTCTCAGTAGCCAACATTTATCATGTATTCACTCTAAGTGAGGCATGTATAAGCACTTTAGGTAACAGCTATTTTTTATCTTCTCCACTCTATGGATGAGCTTGAGTTTAAGTAATTTATCACTGATTACAAAGTGTTTATGTGTCAGGGATGTCTGATTTTATATCTCAAGCCCTACCATACTACGTTGTATCATGCAAAATCAATTATAGGTCTTAAGGCCAGATAAAAGTGGGTTCAATTCTAATCTTTGCTACTTAACTGCTATTTGACCTTGACACACTCTAAGCCACAGTTTCTTCATCTGTAAAATAGTGGCCTTAAAAATTATTTTGTAGGGATTCAGTTACCATTGGAGAGAGTATATGGAAAATGGTACAAACAGTATTCATGTGCCATAAATGGCACCTCCTATCTCAAGATATACAGAGAAATAATTCTGCTTCAGTTAAGTAGGTATAATAAAAGTAAATTCCCTTTCAACTTACTATTAACTTTAATTCCACTCCTATTTGTCCTATGTCTTAATAAGTGCTAGCACATGTTTTGATATAATACATTCCATAAAACTTAAAGCATGTACAGATTTCATACAAATAGAATCCATTTCAATGTAAAGGGGGGGATTCTCCTTTTTCTGACATTTCCATACCAATGAATGCTACAATAAGAACACCCCAAAAACAATCAGGCAGGATGATGTCAAAGAGACAGCTTTGGACTTGGAGTCAGAAGCCCAGTGTGAATCCCAGCCCTGCCACTTACCAGCCACTCGCCAACACTGCCAAGTTCACCTCACAGTTCTAAATACCCCTTTGCACATGAATGAGATGAACTGTTGGGCCACATGTTATAAATTCAGCAAGTGGATTCAAGCTGAGAAGCTCAATTGGTCCCCCAGGTTTCTCTCAAGTTTGAATGGGAATTGCTACAAGCATGTATCTTTTAAAAAGAAGTGGGCTACCTGGTCCTAAAATATCACTGAAAAGATAATGTAAATGTAATGGATTACAAGTTCTGGGCTTCACTGCATGAAAGGTGATAAAGCATTTTGGTTACTATTAAACAGAAAAGCATTCTCTTCAAAGTTTAACTGCATTGTAAACAAAATTTCCTTCTTGAATATCTTGAATAGACACATGTCCTACCATCCTGGTTTGATGAGACTCCACCTGCTTTAGATCAAATGTTTCATGCTCCTAGAAACCCCTCTGTCCATGAAAAACACAGAACAAACAAGTTGGCCACCCAACATTTTACACACACACACACACGCACACACTTTCAAGTGACCCTCAGTGTATCAGAACAAACTACAGATCAAAAAGATCTCTCTCATAAGCATCAGCACTAAAATGATGACATCATTCACGATTGACCATTTAGGTGCTTGGCCACACTAACAAATCTGATTCCAGCAGGATCCTTGAACATGCAACAGCACAGAGGAGAGAGACAGCAGCTGCAGTAATGGTCACCCATTTTGCTAAATCCGTGCTGTGAATAGTTAATAGTTCAATGACCAGCATATTTTTAATGTTATGTATTTATTTGAGAGGCAGAAAGAGAGAGTGAGACAGAGAGAGAGAGAGAAAGAGAGAGAGAGAGAGAGAGAGAGAGAGAGAGCTCCCATCTGCTTGGCAGGCCAGGGCTAGGTACCCAACACAGGTGGCAGGAGCCCAAGTACTTGAGCCACTGAGCCACCACTGCTGCCTCCCAGTATTTGCACTGGTAGGAACCTGTAGTCTGGAGCTGGAGCTGAGATTCAAACCCAGGTATTCTGGTGTGAAACACGGGTATCTTGACCAGTGAGCTGAATAACTATTCCAAAAGTCAGCAATTTTTAAAAATTGTTTTAAATTCCCTGCCTCTTGGATGCCATTTCTGCCTCTTTACTTAAAAAAAAGCCAGGTAATTTTTAGAACATTTCTACCACTTGACAGATTTCAGTTTTATAGCCTTGCAATTGTTTGTCACTTTTTCCTACAATGCTGCAACTATGAAACAAATTATATAATATATATTGAAATAAGACTGGTCATATCTGTATCTAAGTTAAATATATGGCTATCATTGCTTTTAAATAAAGTATTCACTGAAAGACACACCAGCTTTAAGTATAATGGCAAATATGCACCAGAACATATATTTCTATTTTAAAATTAAAATCATTATATGCACCTTTTCTAGAACCACATTACTGTACACAAATATCTTATCCTCCATTGTCCAAGGGAGACATTAGATTCTAAGGTCACAAGGATCTTCAAAAAGTTCATGAAAAAGGCATATTATGGAAAAACTATGTATTGTCTTCAATTTTTTGAATCAAAACAAAATCAGTTATTGCTTTCTAAAAATTTTAATTAATATATTATTTTTTATTTGAGAGTCAGAAAAAGAGATAGAGAGCACCCATTCATTGGTTCACTCATCAAATGCCCACAGCAGCCAGGCCTGGGCCAGACTGAAACCAGGAGCTGGGAACTCAGTCCAGGTCTCCCGTGTGACATGCAGGGACCCACTTCTTGAGTCCTCACCTGCTGCCTCCCAAGGTTGAAATCAGCAGGAAGCTGGAGTCAGTAATGGAACCAGGACTTGGCCCCAGACGCTCCACTCTGGGATGTGGGCAACCCCACCAGCATCTTCACCACCGCCCAAATGCTTATCTATAAACTTAGTCTTTGATTCCAATTTCCATGAACTTTTTGCAGTACCCACACGCAAGATAATAAAGAATGACATCCATCTACAGAGCCAAAGTTATTAAGCACGTATCTTCCGATTGAGAACATTGTTAGCTGTTGTGCCCAGAAGAGCTTGAGTGACATTTTCTAGAAGTATGGGCAAGTGGGAGAATCCCTCTCACTGCTTGCAGCTCCATGCACTGAAGAGCCACTGCCATGGAGACCCTACTAACAAGATAGGAGAGGCAGCCACACAAAGCTTTTTCCTTTGGGAAATCAGAACCTTAAAAGGATTGTCATAAGTCTGGTGAATTCTTAGTTCCGCAACACACTTAATAAAATAAGAAAAGCCCTTGAGAATTGCAGCTTCCATGTTTAAAATGAGCATCTCAGGCTTTTGACAGTCAGCATCAGGAAATAGCTAATATATGTGGAATAAAGCATAATAAAGGAGGCATACAGAAGTTTTAGACTGTCCAAACACTGACACGATTTCAACAGCCTCATCTTTTCACCTTTGAGTTTTCCAGTAGAGAGTAAAGAGAGATATCAAAATGGAGCACCAATATTAAGCAAAAACAGCATAAATCTCCAAGGTCTGCTTACAGCCTTCAAAGAGAATTTGAAAATCAACCAAGCTTACTTAACAAATAATTTACTTCTTATAATATATTCCAATTAACTATGTTTAGAGTAGTCTTACCACAACTTTTCTCAGCGAAACTGGGATTGAATTAAGACTTACTGATTGTTCATTTAAATCCTGGGAGTCTTCCATGTGGTTTTCTCACTTCTCCTGCCACTCCCCAGTAGAAGCAGCTTCCTTTGATTAGAAATGGACTATCTAAAACAAAAAGATGAAATAAAGGGGAAAATGTTATCTTTTTTTATTCTTTCATAAAATTACCAAAACATATTAAGATTTAGCATGATAGTTGGTTATTTGTAGAAGCATTTTTAAAAGAACAAAATTCAGTAATTATCTGATACAAATAATGATCTTGTAAATAATACCACAGCAACTGGGATGTGTGGCCCTACTTAGGAATCTTGTGGATATACACAAAAAAATCTGAAGACAGCTTTTGAGACACACTATATGACAAATAATTAGTGCACTATTTTGCTGAAACTGGTTTATTTCATTAAGCAGCTGACAGGGTAAAAATTAAGAACCTGCATTAACTGTTCATTTTTTCTAAAGATTTATTTAATTTATTTGAAAAGCAGAGTTAAAGAGAGAGAGAGAGGGAGAAACAGAGAGAGATCGCCCATTTGCTGGTTCACTTCCCAAATGGCTACAAGAGCCAGCACTGTGCCAGGCTGAAGCCAAGAGCCAGGAGCCAGGACCCAGGAGCTTTTTCTGGGTCTCCCACATGTGTGCAGGGGCCCAAGTACATGTGTCATCTTCTATTGCTTCCCCAAGTGCATTAGCAGGAAGCTGGATCAGAAGTGGAGCAGCTGGGCCTTGAAATGGCACCTATAAGGGAAGTCAGTATTAAAGGTGGCGGCTTAAACTGCTACGCCACAGTGCAGGCCCCAAACATTCATTTTTGAAAGCACATAAAATAAATGAACAGAATTCGACATCTATTGTGATGTGATAGTTTTCTATATAACAGAAAAATCTGTCCATATTACCACATGACCATTTTCCATTCCACGGGTTATAATATTACAAAATGTACAACCAATTTCAAAAAGAGAATGAAAGTAATACTTTATGATAAAATGGATTTTATAAATAAATGGGGTAAGGAGAACTGGTTAATAAACTACAGTGAGACTAGCACTTAACTGGTTTTAAGAAGTTAACCTTGGGGACCAGCACTGTGGCATAGCAGATAAGGCCACCACCTGCAGCACCCGCATCCCATATTGGCAACAGTTCTAGTCCCAGCTGCTCCACTTCCAATCCAGCTCCCTGATAATGTGCCTTGGAAAGTAGCAGAAGATGGTTCAAGTCCTTGGGCTCTTGCACTCATGTGGGAGACCCCAAAGAAGATCCTAGCTCCTGGCTTCAGATTGGCACAGCTTCAGCAGACATGTTTTTCAAATAAATAAAATGAACTTTGAAAAACAGTAAGTTGATCTATATTCATGCCACATTACATTAAAATTTTCAAGGAAGGGCTAGCACAGTGGGTTCAGACACTACTTACGATGTCAGGCATCCCATATGAGGACCAGTTCAAGTATTAGGTATTTCACTCTGATCCAGATCCCTGATAATGTGTCTGGGAAAGCATGGGAACATGGGGGTTCCATTATCCTGGCTTTGGACTGACTGTTGTGACCATTTGAGGAGTTAATTAGCAGATGGAAGATCTCTCTCTCTCTCTCTGTCTTGTGCATTCTTTCAAACAAATAAGTAAATTTTTTAAAGTTTTTCAAGGAAAATCAAAGTCTTTTAAAAACCTAAGGAAAACTGGCTTTTTTTTAATTTGGTAAATTTCCAGGAAGCATAGGATTTTTAGAACAGTAGCAGCAGAACATAGCAAAAAAAAAAAAACAAAAAACCAGTTTCTTCATCGATCTCCCATCCCGACATACACACACACATAAATTCCAAACTTTACCACAAAGGAAAATCTAGGGGAAAAATACCTGAACAAATATGAAAGAGCTATTACAATTCAAATAGATATGTACACAGCTTATTAAAAACAGTCAATCATTACAAAACAATGTTAAAACTCACAAAATAAATGAAATTCAACCCAAAATAGCAGTGATATAAGGTAACAAAAAAGGTTCAGGTAAAAAAGATGTCCATCACCATAGGCACAGATGTACACATAATTTATCAGTGTTATTTCAAGGAATATTCAGTGACACAAAATGCTTCTGAAAATACGATACAAGTAAAAAATAATTATTCCAATCTGAGAAAACAATAGATTACCAGTTCAATTTATTGATTATTCAATATTTTCAAAAGTTTTTGCTTAGTTCTACATAACTCACTGACATACTCCTGGCTACAACAAGGTAAACATGGTTTTAACTTCTGTCCTTTTATGTTTTGTGGTATCTTCCACAATAATTGCTATGTTTCTTCTTATAATACATGTTTTGAAAACTACAAGGGAAAACTAAGAGTAAATTTTAAAATGTTTTATGCACATATGCACATGACACAGCTCAAAAGTATATTTTCACTCTTGAGATCTGAGGACTGGAAAATGGTAATAGTAACATATGCTCATATGTAAAGAGTGTCACCTTGAAGGAAAGCACAATCTTAAAACACATGTGAAACAGGAGGATGGGAGAGATAAGGTGGCTCTTTAGCCTGCTGAGAGGTGTGGCACTAGACAGCTGAATTCAGGAAGATACATAGTTAAGGCATTCTAGATTTATTTTTTCATGTTCCTTTATGGATCTTCAACTATTTCATGGCAGAGAGAGAGACAAAGAGATAGAGAGATTTTACTTCTGCTGGTTCACTCCTCAAATGCTTTCAACATGGGTGGCAGTAACCCAAGTACTTAGACAGCCATCACTACCTCCCAGAGTGTGCACTGGCAGAAAGATGGAATCAGAAGCAGAGCCAGAACTCAAACCCAAGCACTCCGATATAGATGTGAGCATTGCAAGCAGTGTCGTAACTGCTACACTAAACGCTTGTACCTGCCATTTTACTTTTCATTTTGTATTAGGACAATAAGAACAGAAACATTTGGAGAAACATTATTTCCTAAATTGGGATATTTTAACTTTCCTAAAAATTCAATAATGAGGGGGCCGGCTCTGTGGTGTAGCAGTAAAGCTGCCGCCTGCAGTGCTGGCATCCCATATGGGTGCTGGTTCGAGATCGGGCTGCTCCACTTCCGATCCAACTCTCTGCTATGGCCTGAGAAAGCAGTAGAAGATGGGCCAAATCCTTGGACCCCTGCATTCACATGGGAGACCTGGAAGAAACTTTTGGCTCCTGGCTTCGAATCAGCACAACTCCAGCTGTGGCAGCCAACTGAGGAGTGAACCATCAGATGGAAGAACTTTCTCTCTCTCTCTCTCTCTCCTCTCTGTCTCTTCTCTCTCTCTCTCTGTAACTCTTTCAAATAAATAAATAAATCTTTTTTAAAAGTTCAATACTGAGAATTAGCTTAATGAGTAGTAATTTCCTACTTACCTGACCTAGTAATAAAAAATATTTACAATAAAATTAGTGCCAATTCCAGTCAAACCTGAAATTTTTTTTATTTTTTATTTTTATTTTTTTGACAGGCAGAGTTAGACAGTGAGAGAGAGAGAGAGAGAGAGAGAGACAAAGAGAAAGGTCTTCCTTTTTCCATTGGTTCACCCCCCCAAGTGGCAGCTATGGCTGGCGCGCAGCAGCCGGCTCACTGCGCTGATCTGAAGCCAGGAGCCAGGTGCTTCCTCCTGGTCTCCCATGCGGGTGCAGGGCCCAAGTACCTGGGCCATCCTCCACTGCACTCCTGGGCCACAGCAGAGAGCTGGACTGGAAGAGGAGCAACCGGGATAGAATCCGGCACCCCAACCAAGACTATAACCCGGTGTGCCAGCGCCACAGGTGGAGGATTAGCCTAGTGAGCCGTGGCGCCGGCCCCATTTATATATCTTTAAGAGACAAAATTCATCTAAAATATGTCTAAAATTATCATACTGAAAGTACATTTAAGATGTGATAAAAGGAGTAATAGTTTGGCCTAGTAGGTAAGACACCAAATAAGATGCCTATGCCCCATACTATATTACCTGGATTTGATATTTGGCTCCCAGTTCCAGCTTCCTATCAGTTCAGACTCTGGGAGGAGGCAGCAAGGGATGGCTCAAGTCATTGAGTCCTTGCTGGGTTAAATTCCTAGGTCTGGACTTCCAGCTTGTCCCAACCTGGGGTTCTTGCAGGCATATGGAGAGTGAACCAGAAGGTAGGAATGCTCTTGCTTTCTCTCTCTTTTTTCTTTCTCTCCCCTCCTTCCTCTGTGTGTGTGTGTGTGTGTGTGTGTGCTCTCACTCTCTCCTTCTCTTTATCTGCCTCTCAAATAAACATTTGCTTTTAAAGATGTGATCAAGATATGAATATAATACTTCCAGAAAGGATATGTAAGAATTAAAACAAGTACACTCATCATCATAAAAGAGGTCATAACTTCCCAAAAGGACCACCACCTTAGGGAGCTGTAGCTGACTCCAGTGAAACTAAAATTAAGACTTTGGGAAAGATGTCAGAGCCTAAGGGAATTAAGTAAAAACGAGGCTTTTTTGGGTTAACTATCAGTTCAGAGTCAATTTAATGTTCCAATTGGGGAGTTATTTGCATCAATGTTCCATGTTACAACATAATACTTTGCTTTACATTTCCTTGAAATTTGGATTAATTGTTACTAGTTTGACTTTTAATGGTAACATGAATTTCTTTTCTTTGCCAAATACACTGAGGTACTAAAATATTATGAGCCAGTGATTTTATATTATTGAAACAAGTAAAACTACCAAGGCTAATTGCAGGCACAGTATTATTTTACATCATAATCGAGCAATGGTTGTTATGCTAAATCCTTTAACATTTAGTTTTCACAAATATATGAGAAAAGGATGAGAACATTCTTCAAATCAAGTAAGAGAAGTATCACTTCATTATAAAGATATAAAATTAAGGAATAACAGTAACTTCATGCTGTTTTATGAGGCAAATAACCTAGTTCCCAGCTCTATCTCAAGGCACACAGAAGGTGAATTTCAAGCAGAAATAAGAGCAACCTCATCCATTTCATGTCAGACTATTCCTTCCACAGTTACGTTTTCAATACATAGATATCCTTTTCTTTAACTCTGTTCTAGAAGTGAACTTCTGTGTTTTAGAAAACTAGAATAGAGCAACTCAACATATCTTCTCATTTAAATACAGTTTGAGCTTTCTTAATTAGAAAATCTAAAATCTGAAATGCTCTGAAACCCAAAGTCTTTTGAGTGCCATCTCTGTACCCAGAGTATTTTGCTTTACATTTTCAGATTAGGGGTGCTTAACCAGTGCGGTCTATGCAAATGTTCCAAAACTCAAAAAACTCTGAAATCTGAAACACTCTGGTCCCAAGCAGATAATGGACACACAACTGTGTTTGAGATCGATAGGCAAAATATCAGGATAATTCTCAGAAATAGAACAAGGCACTGTGATCAGGTGCAAGTGACAGAGACAAAGATCCCTGAGCCTTAAGGAGCAAGATGCTGAAGGAGATTTGAGAGTTTGTAGATATTCTGTAACACAAATTTAAACCTCTATCTTCTAACCAAACTTCAGTGAAAGCTGAGTAGTTCATGCATGTTTCACCCTGGCTGAACAAACTCCAAACATGAAGAGAATGTACCTCTTCTCTGTGCCAGGGCTGGCATGGGATGGCAACAGAAACCACGTGTAGGAATCCTGCGCCTGTGGGATATGTGCACAAATGGTGCAGCCTTCAACCAGTCATTTGAGGGACACCTGGCCTTTGCCTTCTATTCCTGGTCCAAACACTCTCTACATTCAACAAATTACTAAGTCCCAGGCAGGCATTTGGCACAATGATTACGATGCTCTTTGGGAGACCTACATCCCATCGGTGCACCTGGGTTTGAGTCCTAGCTCTGCTTCTCATTTCAGCTCCCTGCTAATGTGCATCCTGGGAAGTAGGAGGTGATGGATCATGTGACTGCATCCCTGCTACCCACATGGGAGGCCTGGACTGATTTCTGGACTCCTGGATTCAGCCTGGTCCAGCCCTGGCTGTTGATCTGCGGAGTGAACAAGTGGATGCAAGATCTCTGTCTGTCCTTTACACTCTGTCTCTCTCCCTATAAAATAAAAAATAATTTTCTAAGTTCTGTAAATACCTCTTAGAGTCCATTCTAATCCCTTCTTGGCTCTCTCTCCTCACTGCTGCTACATCGTCCCTTGCCTGGAAGGGGGTTACCAGTAGTGGTCTCCATCCCCTGAGTCCCGCTCTCTGGACATCCCTATGCACAGTGCAGGCGTCAGAGTGAGAGTTCTAAAATACAGATCTGACTGCATTCTCTTAAAACATTGCACAGCTTGTGAAACATTCACCCATCTTTAGGATGAACCAGTCCTTCCTGCATCTGTGGTTGTGTCCAGCTGAAGGATTTGTCAAAGGATCCCTCGAAGGGTAATCAGGGATCTTGTGTTTTGCTCCTGGAGGCTGCTGTCTCAAGTGAGATTTCTGAGGAGGAGCTCCTCATCCTTCCCCAAATGCTGGGGCCTGTCCTCAGAGCATCCTGGGAGGATACAAGTACAGTCAAGGCCTACTTACTTCTTAATGCAGTGAAAAAATAAACAGATGGGGAGAGGAGGTAGACTACATTCCCCCATCCATGCTCCAAGCATCTAGTATACACCTAGAAAAAAAATTTGAAGACGATTGCAGCTGCCTAAACTTCTATTCCAGTCCATCTGGAAACCCTACCATGGAGAGGGGGTTAACCTGAGTAGTCTTACCCATGACCTCTGATAGTCCATAGGTGGGCTTTGAAGAATCTTTGTACCTGTGTAGAGCTGCTGGGGGAGGGGGTGCCTCTACATTATATTCTAACACTCAGAATGGTTAAAAGATGGTATGGAGTTCTGCTTTTCAAACTGTAAGTTCATTTTCAGAAGCACATTTCATTAAACATTCATTTGTTTGCACAGGCGATATATTTAAAGATATATCAGTATGATTTTGGAAAATGGAATTAAAAGATAAATTTACTTGGGTGCAAAAAATTTGAAACCCATGCTTATGAAGGGTCTCCAAAAAGGTCATGGAAATGTGTATTGTGAAAAAATCATGCATGGCTTTCAAAAATGCCTGTACCAAAATAAACTTACTTTTGAACAGCAATTTCACTGAATTTTGTAAACTACCCTTATATATCTGTTACACAGATATATATTCAGTTCAATCCACTAGGTACCTTCCCCAGATATTCTCAAGTAGTACAAATTACTTGTATCTACTGATGCATCTTGCTGAGGATATGTGCCTGGAAAAATATCCTCCAGTGGCAAAACATCCAGGATATAAAACTTAGGAGCTCTTCAGAACCACGTGGAAAATGCCAGTCTATAGGGAGAAAGAGGAGGGATCTGACCCAGAAAGAGCAAAAGTGAACATGGCAAGAAAGTCCTGGCAGAAAGTAAGCACCTGGATCTTATTACCCATAAGATCTCACTGTTCTGTTCTTCCTGCTGCTCAGTTGTCCAATTCTTCCTTGGGTTTCATGAGTTCTTCTTGCCATCTTCAGTTAAATTTTCCTTTTTAAGCATACTACCTAACATAAAACTGTACTTGTCTAGGAAGTCGAACAAGTAATATTCTCCTTACATTACTGAGAAATTAAGCTCTGAGCAGCCATCCAACAGGGCACTGCTTTACAGCTCCAATGCACCTAGTTACCTACACTGCCCTCCAAATTTCATTAATGGATCTTTGAAGCTGGGTCAGATACTGGTTAGTGCCAAGTGCTCAGGCAGCCTGACTGAGAGGGAAGCCAATGGCACAAACAAAGAACACCTAGCTCCAATTCTATGGCCAACTGTTTAGAGAAGTGGAGATGAGCATTCTTTGACCCTGCACGTGATTCTCTTCCCTGGCTGTAGAAAAGGAAAACAGCTGAGGTGTCCAAGAAATAGATCTGCATGAATAGTAATGAGTACCTTGTCTGACTTCCAGCTCCTTAAATGGAGTCCAGCCACAAGCTAGGTGCTGAGCTATTTCTGAACTTCTGTAAAGCTGGTACATAGGATTTGCAGAGTTGTCCATTTAATACAAAATATTTACTACTAACAATACTACTAGTAATAATAGGGTAAATAACTCTCATGCTAAAGAATTATAAGCTCAACTTCATAATAACCCTTTGGGTCATTTTTAATAAGTTCATTTGATGGCAAAAATCTTCCTGGAAGTATAGGTTATGATTATGTGACTTTTACGAAGTATAACCAAGGTTTTCTATTTAGTTTGTGCTTGGTACTTGCTGATGTTGGTTAGTGAGCCTTGAAAACACAGACGCAGTTATTACTGAACTGTGTCATGGAGACATGTGAAAGATTTCTGAGCTCACACTACTCTTGTTTCCCTTACAGATACTAAGGCTGACTGCAGGCCAGCTGTCTTGCATATTGCTCCTCTTGCTCCTCTCAATCACCACTTTGACATTATTTTGCCAAGCACTTTGTAGACATTGCAATGGTTCAACTGTCTAGCTAGCCTACAGTCTGGCAAAAGAGGAAACATCTGAGCTCTGTCTTAGACGACGTCTGCCTTTTTCTCACCTGTGAATCTTCCATGTAACCAGGGAACTTGTTTTGATGAAGAGTATGACTGTAAACAGTGCTTAACTCACTTCTGATGACTTTATACCCCTCCTGAGAAAAGTGCAACACAAAGCATTTAATATGTCTCCCACTATTTACGTTTAAATTTTTGAAAACACAGAGATACCAGTTTTGGTAGAGGGAATACAAATGTAGTATTTCCAAGTGAATATGAGTAAAACAGATCTGCATGTGAACTCTGGCTTTACTACTACTAGGTAATTACATGGCCATGAAAAAGCTAATTAACATCTTCCAATACCATTATCTTCATCCTTAAAATAGGGATAATAAAAATATTTGTGTTGAATTTTGCTAGGATAAAATGAAATAATGTATCTCTAAATTATAAATCATTCTGATTATTAGCATGCATGTAAGGAAATCTCTGCCTTTATATTTGTATTTTGCTCTTCATATACTGAATGAAAACATTGGAACATTCTTTGCTGCAAGGCGGAGTACTACCCATACAATTTCTTCTCAAATGTAATAGTTCCAGCTCTGCTCAACTATGAACATCATAGTGATCAATGGCTTCCGGGAGCTGTATTAGTGAGCTATATTCAAATAGCAGTCAAAAGTCACCAGTTTTTTACCAATTTCCTGAATTCAGATAAATCTGTAAAACTGAATTAAAATTTTGTTAAATAGCTCTCACTACTTTTTAGTTTTTCATTGCACACAGCATCAGAGTTGTAATTGGACTCTTTCATGCTGAGAAGCTGATTCAATCAATAAGAGAATTATAGATAGGTATGTGACATAGAAAGCATCACAAATATATGAGCATTCTGTGTCAATGCTAAGAAGCTTTAAATGGGTAAAAGTAGGAGCAAAGTACAAAATATTAGAGAAAAAGGTGACTGGCTAATACTATATAGCCTTGAAACTGAAATATAGGATGGCACGTGTGGCATTACTGCAATAACACATGTGCTTCAGATTTCTGACAAGCAAGATGAGCAGTAAATGGAGTTTAGGAGCTATCCAAAGGCTGTTGGAATGCTCAAGGCAGGAAGTCAAGAAACCTGGATGGCTGTGGTGCTGAAAGCAGCCAAGAAGAGAGGTGGATAGAAGCAATAATACAAGTGTGAAGGCTAAATCGGTAGGAAACAAAAATTGATGTATAATTGATAGGACCAATATGACTTTCAAGTGTCACACCATGATTCATGAGACACTGTTGATATGGAAAGCTTGAGAGAAGATTCCTTTATATTTATATTTGCACTGTTGTTATTGTTTTTGTTGCCTATGTCTTCATTTGTGGAGATGGGCAGAAAGCAAAAACAAGAGTGAGATCCAGAGGGCCAGAGTTGTAGCACAGAAGGTAAAGCCACAACCTGTGATGCTGGCACCCTATATGGGTGCTGGTTCTAGTCCAGGCTGCTCCACTTCCAATCCAGCTCCCTGATAATGCACCTGGGAAAGCAGAGGAGGATGGCCCAAATGCCTGGGACCCTGCACCCACATGAGAGACCCAAAGGAAGCTCCAGCCCTGTCCGTTGTGGGCACTTGAGGAGTGAACCAGAAGATGGAAAATCTCTCTCTGTGTGTCTCTCCTTCTCTATCTCAGTAACTCTGCAAATTTAGAAAAGCCTCACAAAAGTATTTTTAAAAATATTGGGACTAGCATTGTGGCATAGTAGTTTGGAACTCCATCTGCAACACCAGCATCCCATATGGGTGCCGGTTCAAAACCCAGCTGCTCCACTTAAAATCCAGCTCCCTGCTCGTGTGCCTAGGAGGGCAATGGAGTATGGACCAAATCCTGGGAACCCCTGCACCCACACGGGAGACTGGGAGAAGGCTCCATGCTCCTGGCTTTGGCATGGCCCAGCCCTGACTGTTGCAGCTATTTGGGGAGTGAGCCAGTGGATGAAGTGTCTCTCTCTCCTTCTCTTTCTCTAATACTGCTTTTCAAATAAATAAAAACAAATATTTATATATATGCACCAAAATTTAAAAATGGAAGTGAATGAATCAATTAAATAGTTAATTAGATATAGCTAAACAAACAATTTGTGAATAGAAATAGGCCTTAGGAAGGGACCACTTCTGTGAATGAAAATAGTGATAACAAAGATTATAACAAACACGTAAGCATAGCTTCTCCTCTAACCTTTCCCAGTAGCATTTGGGTATAAAAGTCATTCCCTTGATATTGTAGCTGCATTAAAGTTATGATCAGTGTACAAAAAAATGCCATTATGACATCTAAAATCCAAAGATCTTTTCTAAGAATTCAGAAAATATTGTCTCAAATAAATTTGGTGTTTTGGTTTTCAACTCAGTATTGTGCTTCCCTACTGTATGCTTTGTCTTTAAGGACAAACTTAGAAAGAGGGAGATATGGAGAAAAGATATGAATGGAATCCATATAGTTCTGTTTCTTTGCCATTGGATCATTAGACCATAGGTCTACAACTTGAAGCCTCTTTGCAAATGAGACCTCCCTCCCTCCTTTCCCTCCTTCCTCATTTCCTTCCGGCCCCCTTCTTCCCTTCCATCACTCCTTTTCCCTCTCTTTCCTCCCTTCCCTCCTTTCTTCTTCAGTTCTTCCTCATGTGTTTGCCTTTCAGACCTCCAATCTCTGGTCTGCTCACCCAACTACAAAGCATAAACCGAATCCTGCTTTCACATGTATGACACATGTAATCACTCATGTCATCCCAAAATCATTTTCTTCCTTAAGTGTCTCTATTTTATCAGGCCACATCAATGTTTCCCAAAATAGATCCTGGGAGAATTCAAGTAGCCCCAAAAGCATACTTGCCTAGTAAACACATTAAACAGAAGGTAGATTGCAATAGGTCATTGTACATCATTGCTTGTAAACAATTCAATTATAAATTGATGTTATATTGAAATGGATCAGCATTAACATACATTAAAGTATCAATTTAAATCCAGACAAAAATTTAAGTAAAATCAATTATCTGAAATGGAAATTTATAACAATAAATTTTCAAAGCAGTAAGAATGCTTAGAGCCTTGTTTGCTTGCCTGTTTAATAAAGTCTTTTTCATGAAAATTCAAGAAAAATAAAAGACTAACATTTGAGCTTCAGACAGGTTTAGTTTGCTAGTACTTGGGTGAGTCTGGATTTGTTTGCAGCCCCTAGGGGTTCAAGGTTCAGGTTCCATGGGTCCAAGAGATGTTGGGGCCAAAAGAGCCTCCCCAGAAAGAACACTCTGGAGGCCGAGCTGGTGAACCACACGAGCCCTGGAGCCAAGTCTCAGCACTGAGTCTCCCTTCTGACTGAAAGAAAAGATCAAGAAAACAAACAAGAAGAGACCTTCACTGAACCCCTGTAGAACTGGGTGAAGATGGGGGCATTGCTACTTTCTTTGGAGTCTTTGTTTCAGGGTTCTCTGCTGGGGGACGATGCTAGATACTTTCCTTGTGTTCACATACTCCTGGAGGGGACTATGCTAGATACTTTCTTTGTGTTCACATACTCCTGGCCCCTGCTGTTCAATCCAGGAGAGGTGAGGTCCCACCCAGAGAAACAGTGTTTGCTTTTGATACAACCATTCAAGCTTGGGGAAAGAAATGAAAAGGGTGAAGAAAGCCTAGGAAAGTATGTGCTAAAGGAGTAAGAATACACCACAGTAAGAATTTAAAATGTGAGAAGTGAAACTCAAGAAGATGGCAGAGGGACTGAGAAGCAGAAGAGTTTGTGCCCTCGTGATTAAACCAAAAATAAAGAAAACCAGTTGTACAGACATGGACACTAGTCCTTCTGCTACTCATCATGAATACTGGGGTTTAACCTGGTCACCGCTGTCCCAGGCCTGTGCAGGGCTCCAGCCAAGCTCTTGTTCAAGCAGGTGAACAAGCCATATTCATTCAAGAAGAAGCTTCATGGACACTGCTGCAGCCCACATATATTTTATTAATGCTTCATTTTCATTTCCATGATTGTGAAAAAAATACAGTATGTTTCTTTGAAGAAAATATCTAAGATATATAAAGTAAAATAGTATTTACAATACCTAAATTAAGACCATTTTGCAAAAACACTTATTCTTTTAAAATTACATATGAATGAATGAACAAAGAAGTAAACAAAGCAACACCTCTAAGATACATATCAGGAAATGGATGACTTTATTTCATGGAGTTTCAGATTGAGTCAGGCAAACAGAATTGTAGATTTCTATGTTTGCCATGACTCAACGTACAGCTTTGGGAAAGCCTTGTAATTTCCCCATACTTCAGTTTCTCACCTTATAAAAGGAGTATACTGCTTGAAATTCAATTCCCTCTCAGCAGTGAAAGTTTTGATTCAACATTTATAAAACGATTTTTTAGCTTCCCTGATTAATAGGCAAAATACCTTGGCAGTTGTATAATACACTTTCCAAAAAAATATAAAGGTAACTGTTTGAATTTGATGTAAAATAATACTTTGCTTGAGAAACAAATATCAGTCATATTTATTACTGCTCCATTCCATTTGCTAAGTCATAAAAATTACTTCTAACAGAAAAAGGGTCAAATTAATATTCAAGCCGGCTGAAGCGTTGTCATCGTGGGGCTTGCCTGCCGTGGGGGAGGAGTGCTGTTTTGCTTTGCCAGGCTACCCCACATGTTTATATGGCAAAGTCAGGAATGCCGGGTAGTGGTTTTGAAGGCCTCTAGCGTATTCGCTGGTTTCTGGCATTCTAATGCACTCTACTCTTATAACCATAAAAGTACTCTTGAGTGCTTCTGGAAATATATAACAAATCCTTAATCAATTTAAGAGTGTTTTAACTGCATACATGAAATTTCTTGGGAGGAAAATGTTAGCTATTCTACACACATATAGTACTTAAGTTAGCAAGAGAGTTCCTTCTCAAAGGCACAGAGCAGTCTCCCCATAGTAATATAATTTTCAGTTTTATGTGCGTAAGTCCTATTGAATCCCTTAGAATAACAGGAAATTCTGCAGGAAAAAAACCCACAAAAATTGATAGCCATATTTATTGAATGCTGGAGGGATATGTTAGTTATTTTGAGCTGAATTACTCTTTAAAGGCACTAGACAACAATTGGAATCACTAGCTAACAGAATCTAAATTAACCTTAATTAATCTTAATTAACCAAAACATTCTGGAGAATGAATTTTCTACATACACGAATCTAGCAATAAAGCCAACAGATTGATTTAATTCACTTAAAAATTGATGTATCACGTTATGTTAGCCAGGACTAAAGGAGCAAATTTTCTGGATTTTTACCCAGAAATGTTTTGAACTTTATTTTTCACATTAAAAATATTTTTTTCAGACTCACAGAATAATAAGTAATATGATACAGTTAATGTTTTGATACACAGTAATATCTATCAACACATTCAAAATGGAGTAATCTCATATCAATAAAATGTCTGTACATTTATGTCTCAAAAAGCTATAGTAATATATAAAATAATATATGCATAAGATGCTTAGAATGGCACCTAAAGCAGAATAGGCTCTTAATACAATAGTGTATAATTCTTCCTAAGCTCTCATCAATCATGTCATCAATTATATTGCCCATACCAGAGTCATAGGCATTTCTCCTAATCATTCTCTTTTTAATTTGTTTTATTGAGAGAGAGAGAGAGAGAGACAGAGAGAGACAGAGAGAGGGAGAAAGAGAGAAATATTCCCTTCTGTTGCCTGACTCTCCAAATGCTTGCAACAGCAAGAGCTGGGACAGGCTGGAGCCAGTACACTGGAATTCAACTGAGATTATCAAATGGGTGGCAGGGATCCAAACACTTGAAACATCACTGGACCCTCCCAGTGTGCGTATTAGCAGGAAGTTGGCATTAAAAGTGGAGCTGGGACTTGAACCCACTTTGATTTGGGATGCAGACTTCCCAAATGGCATTTTTTAATTGATTTATTTATTTGAAATTCAGAATTACACAGAGAGAGACACACACACATACAGAGAGAGAAGGATCTTCCATCTGCTGGTTCACTCCCTAAATGGTCACAATGACCAGGGCTGGGCCAGGCCAAAGCCAGGAGCCAGGAGCTTCTTCTGGGTCTTCCACTTGGAAACAGGGGCCAAAGCACTTGAGCCATATTCCACTGCTTTTCCCAGGGCATTACCAGGGAGCTGGATTGGAAGTGGGGCAGCCAGGACTCCAACTGGCACCCATATGAGATGCCAGCATCATAGGCAGTTGCTTTACCCTGTATGCCATAGCACCAGTCCCCCACTTGGTATCTTAACCACTGCACTGAATGCCCACTCCTCTCATAATAAGTCTAAAAAATATTTTATGAAGCTAAGAGAAGCATGTAGTAAGTATGACATACACTGATTCACTTCTTCCTACCAATTAGGAACTATAAATATAAATAATGGTAATCCAAATACCTTAATAATAATTCATAAGTGAGAAAGTAACCATATATGTTATACAGATTTTTTTAGGTATGTAGTTAACAGAATTATTTATGATAATCAGCATCTTCCAATTAGTGTACAGTTATCAAAGAATATACTACTATAAACATTCTTATTCACCAGAGAACAATTAATTACAATGTTCAAGGAATCAGAAATTTTTGTATTGGTTTTTATGGGAAAAAGAATATCACTTTATTGATATAAAGTGTTACAATCTTTTTGACACATATTATGGTAGCCATTAAGCAAAATGCACATACACTTTCACTTATTAATCCCAACTCTACAGTTTTGCTGACAAGAAGTTTTGCAAGGGTGAAAAGGTGTACAAAAAATATCATCATTCTAATCTGCTTTGTAATAGCAAAAACCTGGAAGCAACTTAAACATATACCAAGAGGGGAACAGTGAAAATATGAAACACATGCATACACTGAAGTATCCCCCAAATTTCTGTATTGATGTGGGAAAATATTCAAGCTTCAGAAGATCAAAAGCAAATTTGAAGAAAATCAATCAATGATCCTATTTGGGGTTAAGTAAAGTAAGAGTGAGCTTTTGATACAGAAGTAACAAACCCCTCTGGACATCCAAATCCCTCACTGTTGTGTCTAGGGC